TTGGTCATCCCAAACTTAGGCTGCCTATCTACAGCTAGCTCCGGCTGAGAATAGGCCCTAAGCTAATTAACCAACATTTAAATTCCTACATCGACGATTTTAGTCGAAAACACTGAGTATGCTTTTAGAAATTTTTAAAAGTATTTATTTCTCTTCTATTGTCATATTGAATGAAATTAAATATGTTTATTTAGCCGCTGTGTGTATGAAAAATGTCAAACTAATCAAAGCCGAATCACAAAATAGTCCTCTAATTATTCAATATGGCAGCGCCCATGAAACATAATTTCACAGAGGCGGTTTTATTTGCGAAAACAAATTTAGGAGTATTTAACCTTGTTTTGAAAGATAAACAGATTGAAACTCTAAAGACAGTTAACAATGGTAAAGAATTTATTGCAATATTACCCATAGCACATATTATATATCGCTTTTACGCGAGTGTCAGCGACATGCCGTGTTTACATAAAACACACGTGCGTGGGTTATTTTTACTCAGTTGTCTAAACAAAGCGGTCTCGAGTCGATATGTCCCGCCCCAAAATGATCACATGAGCGTTTTAAATGGCGTATAATCAGTGCAGTGTCACATTCTGGGAAGTATGACGTAGATGGGTCGCTGCGTGCAGTATGGAGATTTGGTTAGTTTCTATTTATCAAGATTCCTGAAGAACTGATTATTAAATTGTTTTGGCCTAAATGAGAGTATTATGAAACACCTTGTTTTATTACCTGCCAGGTAAAAGACCAGGTAATAAGCCCATTATGAGGTTGTTAATTTATAGGATTATATTCTCTCTACCATGATATATTAGAATCAAATATAACTTATTTTATACACTGGTCTCATATTAATACAGGTCTGGATATCAAGCACCTGTCAGGAGGGGTGGGGGGGTGATAGCCGAATGGTTAGCACGTGCATGCTGTATCATAAAGTCTGTCATTGAGTCAACTGGTATGGTTTCGATTCCCCAGTTGTATGTGACAAGAAGTAGGGTCGCATGTCCAACCTCGTGGGTTTTCTCCGGGTTCCCCCACTGCTAAAGACCCCTATGTGCAAGCGAATTATCGAAATAAGATTGACCATATGTTAGTCCCAAAATGACCTAGTTTGTGTCGAGTGGACGTTAAACCCCATCTCTTTCTCTCCCAAGCACCTATTACAGACACTGTAACCTGGGTATCATTTAATCTTGTGTATCTAACACTAATTTCTTTGACTTTCATTCAATATCAAATCTCTGTTTAAAACTTCATAAAAATCATTTAAAATCACAAAAGATCATCTAATTTGTACTTTTCAATTCTGATAATGAGTGTCCAATTTACATGTATACTATTCAAAAAAAGTAGGGGATATTTGATTTTTAAGTGTTATTAAAGTCACCTAATGAAACTGACGAAGAAACAAATGACAAAATGAAATGAAGTTCACATTCATCGATTTATTCCAAATGATCGTTAGACTAAGTAAGGCACAGACTGACCATTATAAGGGTAAAATGATACCCGGGGTCAAACAGCAAAGTTACCACAGCATCACAACCAAGTCAGTAACGGGTAAATCCTCCTCTGTTTGCCAAACAAGCATTGATCCGACTTGGCATACTCCTAATGAGACGTCTAAGGTCATTTTGGTCCAAATTGTCCCATTCCTGTTGCAACGCAGCAGCAAGTTCTTGGACATTGGCAGGACGTTGTTGACGTTGACGTAACCTCTGTCCAAGCATGTCCCAGACATGCTCGATGGGGGAGAGGTTGGGACTCAGTGCTGGCCAAGGTAATGTGGTGATGTTCTGTTGTTGGAGGTAACCTGTAACGATCCTGGCCCTGTGACATCTTGCGTTGTCATCCTGGAAGATGAAACGGCGGCCATGACGTCGTGCGAACGGCACAACATGGACTGCCAAGATGTTGTCCCGGTAGTACTGGCCTGTAACACGCCCTGCAACAACATGTAAAGCCGTTCTTCCAGCAACAGTGATGCCTCCCCACACCATAACAGAACCACCCCCAAATCGATCATGTCTCATGACGTTAACGTCTTGGAAGCGCTCGTTTCGACGACGCCACACCCTCCTACGTCTGTCCAAAAAATCAACAGTGAACCTTGACTCATCTGAAAACATCACATTGCTCCAGCGTCGATTATCCCAGTGTTGACGATCCCTACACCAACGACGTCTTGCCCGAATGTGATGATCTCTCAAACAAGGGATCACGCGAGGACGTCGGGCGCGAAGGTGACCCCTATGCAGTCGATTCCGAATCATCTGGCCACTCACTCTCACACCAGTGTCTGTTTGAAGACGAGCGCTGATCTTATTTGCTGTGATGACACGATTTCTCAAGGCCAAGGTACGGATAAATCGATCCTGGGCTTGAGTTGTCGCCCTTGGTCGACCTGAGCGTGGTCTGTCCTGTACAGATTGTGTATCACGGTATCTGGACCATAGCCTGCTTATGACAGACTGAGAAACATTCATCGTCCGCGCCACAACTGCCTGTGTTGTGCCGATCTGTAGCATGCCAAGGGCACGTAACCTTTCATTTTGGGTAAGCCGACGCATATCAAAATTTGTTTTCTGGTCACTAAAACAATTAAACTGATGTTTCCACCCTGGAATTCAATGCCACAATGACTGTAACATTCAAAGTCAGAGTCGTGCAAATCTTGGGTTGGACCCCCATGATGATCCCAAGCATCACCTGCATTCCATGCGGTAGCTATTGGTGCGTTTGGGCGTCACATGTAACTGGAAATGTTTCTTCTGTTAGGTTCTATAGTGACTTTTTTCGTAGTCATTTGCATATTTTAGTATTATGCCCCCAAAATCAAATATCCCCTACTTTTTTTGAATAGTATATTTAATTTCTCGATCACTGTTAAAACAAATAAACAACCCAATTGATTATTGATGTATAATGATTGATTTTTGAACAGTGGTCAGGAAATTAAATTGGACATTCGTTATCAAAATTAATCAGTCAGCTTTAAACTGGACACAAATTAGATGATTGTTGGATGATTTTTGGTGATTTTAAATAATTTTTACAAGTGTTTTAAACAAAGATTTGATATTAAACGAATGTGAAAGAAATTAGTGCTAAATACACAAAATTAAATAATATCTGGTTTACATATATATATATGTAAATGACAGACACCCCAAAAAGATTGTGTATGTGTATGACATTGTCTGTGATAGTTGCTTTATTTCGAGACTTGATTCCCTTCGTTATAAATGAAATATTCAATAACAAATAAATCACTTTAAGCAATCTTAACAAAATGTTGAGATTTGAATTGGACTATTTGTGTGAATAAGCCTACTAGATGGCCAGGGAATGGCAGTGATTATATCATCTTGCTAATCTTTTGGGAAATTGATATAAGAGTAGGGTCCGCTGCCTGGGTAGTATTCTCCTCATCATAGCACATAACATAGTTGCAGCAGAAGAGTTGGAAGTTAAACTTCTGCCAAACAATGGTTGATTGTTAAGTATTGAGAGTGATGATATTGTTTATATGATATAATACCTGATATATTAAATATTTTACAATAAGTAATTAGAGACGACTATATTGTATATTATCCTTATTGATTCACACCAATTATCATTGTGAGAGAGAGAGAGAAATGGGGTTTAACGTCCACTCGACACAAACTAGGTCATTTCGGGACTAACATATGGTTTAATTTTATTTCAATAATTCGCTTGCGCGTAGGGGTCTTTAGCAGTGGGAGGAAACCGGAGGACCCGGAGAAAACCCATGAGGTTAGACAGGCAACCCTACTACTTGTCACGTACAACCGGGGATTAATTATCATTGTAATAACATAGTTTATTATGGAACTCGAACTCAACCGAAAACAGGAGAGAGAGAGAGAAATGGGGTTTAACATCAACAGCTATGGTGAAATGAAATGAAATGAAATGGGGTTTAACGTCCTACTGTTCTGCTCCTATACTGGGCTAATGAAGATGGGCATACGCCATACAGTGTGCTATGAGGGAAATTTTGCCCGGGCAGCGGCACTATCGCCTACTCTTACATGTATATCGAATTCCAACTGCCAGGGGATCTTTTACGTGCATTCCAATGTATACACAGGACCTCGGTTTTTCGTTTCATCCAAAGGACTAGACAGCTGTCCTTATCAGGCCCTCTGTTCTGCATCACTGACAAGGAGGAAACCACGTCGGAAAATCCCTATGAACTTTCTCGGCCAATGCAGGGATCGAACACCCGACCTCCAGGCTAGCGAGCCGGCGTCTAACCCACCTAGCCACCGTGGCTCCCTAACAGCTATGGTGCCAGCAACAGCTAGTAAATGGTCCTATTCACATATCTCAGACTGTTTCAGGCTGTTTGTGGATGAAGCTGTATTAATATATTACTCTAATTGTCTACAAGGAACTTGTTTACTCATTATTTACATGTAATCAGAGAGATAGAGGAAGAAATAGGGTTTAACATTCATTCGACACAAACTAGGTCATTTCGGGACTAACATATGGTTTAATTTTATTTCAATAATTCGCTTGCACATAGGGGTCTTTAGCAGTGGGAGGAAACCGGAGGACCCGGAGAAAACCCACAAGGTTGGACAGGCGACCCTACTCCTTGTCATGTACAACCGGGAATCGAAACCACGTCAGTTGACTCAAGGACAGGCCTTATGATACAGCGTGCACGTGCTAACCATTCGGCCATCCAACCCCCCCACATGTAACGGTTAAATCTAAGGACATTTTGTTTTCTGGAATTATTTTTATACACCCACATGATCTGTATGAAATTGTTTTGCACAAAAGTATAAATATGTGACAACCTTTGTTGACTGCTGGTACGATTTAGCTGCTATGGGTGTATGTTTTGTTGCCCGGCAACTTATTTTATGTTAGACTATTGGTCCACTGCTGTATTTAGCTGAACCAATGAGTTCTCTTGTTTTATTGTCAATCTAGAATGTTTCTAACTTTATTTTCAGGATATCTGACCGAGGTGGTGGTATTCCTCACAGCTATGTAAATAAAGTATGGGATTATAACTTTACGACGTCTGGAAGCCTGTCAGATGATCGAATAGATGGAGGTCTCTTCGGACAAGTTATGAACGCCTCCAATTCTGGTCCTATGCCTGGAAAAATGCATGGGTATGAATAATTTTATTATTTTGGTATTGGTTGGGGAGGGGGGTGTAGATGATAAGGTCGTCAACAGGTCGTTAAAGTTAAAGTGCATACTAGTTCAATTATGGCGGTAGACAAGATGCTAGCGCTCTAAGTGGTCTTGCACATGCTCATTAGATCTGTTCATGCGACTGCTTGTTCATTTAAAGCAATGAAACGAAACGTAAATATATGTTCTAAGAATATAAGTTCTTATATTATACCACTCTCAAACAAATCATTCTCTAGCAGAATATACAGGTGACAATCCTATGGAATACAATTACTGCTTATTACTGGAATAAACAGGTGACAATTCTATAGAATACAATTACTGCTTATTACTGAGCGACGTTTCCACTAGGCTTCTCTAGTCATTATCAAGCAGTGATGATACTGATGTCTGATAAATTGTTTCAATGGCATTTAGTATTTGAACCAGAGTATACAGGTGGCAATTCGATGGAATACAATTACTGCTTATTACTGAAGGATGTTTAGAGTATGTATATTTTATCATTGCTTGATAATGACTAGAGAAGCCTAGTCGAAACGTCTCTCAATAATAAGCAGTAATTGTATTCCATAAAATTGATAATGACTAAAGAAGCCTAGTGGAAACGTCGCTCAATAATAAGCAGTAATTGTATTCCATAAAATTTGGCGTTGATTGATTCGGTCAAACGATCCAGACGAATTAACTCCAGTTCAATTAAGCGGTGCACATATTTATCATTTGTTCGAATTGTTTGACCGAATCAATCGGTGCCAAATTTTATTTGGCCAAATGAGTGAACACAATAGGTTAATGCTTCGTCCGATTCACCAGTCGATTGCATCACCTTTCACGTCACATGATTAAACATGGTGGCAACCATGTTTTCAAACAATCACGTGACTTCTCGATACGAGTGGATGGTGAGTGGTGATTGGCTAATGAATTCTACATTTGGGCGAATGCCTCAGCGAAGCGGACCTACTAGGCAAATATAATTCCCCCAAATTTATCAAACATGTTTGATTCGGGCGAATCATTCAGCCAAATGACAGGGGACACACTAGGCGAATTTCAACGCCGATTGATTTGGCCGAATCATTCCGCTAGTGTATCCACCGCTTTACTGCATGCGATTGAAACAATTTCTCCAACAGTAAGTGTAAATAGGAAGTCGTACCGGGTTTTATTTAGAAATGGTACCTCTACTGATGTCTTCCATCTTACTCCAGCCACAGTCGTGGACCGTCGTAAGGCCTTTGAGCATGTTTTGTAGTCAGTTGACTAAAAAACAGTTACTGGCCTATAACTCCCTTAATTTCCAATTACACTGACCCCAAACAGTACTGTACATAACTTAACATGTAATCAACCATTTCCCATTGAAATAAAGGTGAAACCGTGCCGCATAATTATATGATTTGATTAAACCCAACTGCTATGCGGAATTTCTGTTCACTTTAAAATGGCCCCCAAACCAGAATCACATGTGTCATGTCACTCGAAAATACAGAAAATCTGTTTGGTAAGATAAGATTATGATTTTAGTGTTCCATTCTTCACTATTTTTAACATAATTCCTTATTTCCATGCAAACTGTGATGATATGTGTTGAACATTTTGCAATCGAACCTAATTTTACTTGCTCAAAGCCTGGAATAGTGTATCAACTATAGTGTATTAAAGCTGACTGATTAATTTTGATGCGTGTCCAATTTACAAGTATTTAATTTCCTGATCACTGATCAAAAATTAATCATTATACATCATTAATCAATTGGGTTGTTTATTTTTTAACAATGATTGAGAAATAAAACACTTGTAAATTGGACACTCATTATCAAAATTGAATGGTCAGCTTTAAACTGGACAGAAGTACAAATTAAAGATTTATGGTGATTTTAAACAGTTTTTACAAATTTTTAAACAAAGATTGGATATTAATTAATGTGAAAGAAATTATTGCTAGATACACAAGATTAAACGATACCTGGGTTACAGTGTATGGGTTTTATTGTATATGTCACGTATTATTGTATTGTTTTACAGGTTTTGGTTTTATTGTATATGTCAGGTATTATTGTATTGTTTTACAGTGTATAGGTTTTATTGTATATGTCACATATTATTGTATTGTTTTACAGGTTTTGGTTTTATTGTATATGTCAGGTATTATTGTATTGTTTTACAGTGTATAGGTTTTATTGTATATGTCACATATTATTGTATTGTTTTACAGGTATGGATTTGGTCTACCAACAGCTAAAGCGTATGCTCAGTATCTTGGAGGTAGCTTGACGATAGAGACTATGTCTGGTATTGGTACGGATGTGTATCTCCGTCTAGCACACATTGACGGAAAGAGAGAAAGTTTCCGCATTTAATTTTTTTGGTTCATTTTACGTTTACCTGTACATGTGGCTATTATATCTTTATTTGTTTTTGAGTAAAGAACAAAATTATATTTTTTTCTTTATTTTATGTTTGTTTAAATCGTGCTAAATGTAAGTCATTATTATATTGCCGTATTATTTTGTTATTGTATACTTTTAAGGATTTTGATGCAGGGCTTCTGTTTCAGTCAAATTGACCAATCTCGACAACCTGATTAAAACACAGAGCCTATTTCGTTTCGTTTTTATTTTATAGTTCAAAATTTTGTTTTACTTGTCTTTACTACACCTAGGATCTGGAGAAACGGTCTGTTATGGTGAATTTTTGGTGTGAGGTGCACGGAACTGTGGGTAACCCACTAGAAATATCAACGCTGATTGGTTAATCAAATGTCTGACATCATAGGATCAAAAGCCACTCGTATGACTCTTGACACGATCTTCCACTACAACCGGTCATACCTTCATGTAGTGTAGTCCATTGAAAGTATAAAAACGAAATGAAATATAGATCTGTATTTTCATCAGATTAACTGACTGGAGAACTAACCTGTCAGTCCATTAACAAGTCATGAAATTAGTAACTTTAAAAAACAATAAACACCGTTAAATATCTAGTTTTTCTGTGTTAATACTTTTGAAATATATATAAAAATTTGAATCATGTCATAATATCTGGTTAATCTAAGAAAACTATGGTATATCAAGTTTTAACTGACTGGCAATGTTTTAAAATGAAAGTTGATATGATGTGAAGAGTTAAAGGAGCTAAATCGCTAACATTTGTGACCAAGAAATTGACACAAGTGGGTTGCAACTCATTTAATACTGTAATATGAATGTATATAAACTGATATACATTCAATCGTTTTCGTTTTTACTCTAATTTCAAATCAGTTATGTTCCGCGAAATAAACCAGCAGTCCCAATCGAATGCAAATTTCTAGCGCCTGGTTATTCCAGTCTACATACGCCGTTTGGTTTGATGCAATATGCCTAGCCTCGTTCCTCGAGTCTCTTGCTAGAACTGGGGCTGAAATGCATTATGGTACATGATTCGTGTACCAATGGTAAAATGTTTATTTTGTCTTAAATATTAGATATCAGAAGCCCATCTTTTTCCGGTAAGATCACAGCATCAATGTTGATTTAAATTGACAAATAATTTGTGTTTTCAATGTTGAAGATATTGGATGATATTGAGTTAGAGACTTAGCTACTTTAACAGTTGAGTTGAGAGCAAGACACTCCTGTGTAGTATCGCTCTCAATCTTAAACCATGTTTAACGCTTGTTGTTTAAACAAAATGAATTCTACTTGAATAACAACGGCCGTTTTCTGTTGAAATGCGAGTAAAACGATAGCGCTTGACCATTATTTTATTGCAGAAGATCAAAGCTATCCGAGCTCGGACATTACTTCCTTATAAAATATCGAAGCTGCGATTTCCTTTGACAGTGTTCACATTAAAATAGTCAAATAACTATTACCTCGTATAGATATAGAGTCATAGAAGATTTTATTTACACAATAAATTATATTTATATATACTTATTCCTCTTGTCACAAAATTAGAGGCATTTAGTGTCTGAATATAGCAATAAACTAAACCCATACTTATAGAAGAACAATTACTTAATTTATTTTCACAAAGTTTTGAAGGGTATTCTCTTAACATTTTCAAGCAACTTCATTAACAAACGTCGGCTAAATAAATTAAAGATACATTATGTAAGATTTAGATAAAGAGCTGACCATTCTTGCTATGATATTTTAAATATAGATAATTCAAAATGAATAATTTGAAAATTACATTCAAATTACTCTTTTGCCAGCGAAGATATTAGCCTTTGAAGGTTTGACAAGACGTGAGCAATAATTTCAACCATTATACTGGTTGTTTGAAGCCAAGTCTTGCTCCTCCATTTTTAAATGAAATCAAAATATCGCTGAACCGTTTCAATCTATTTAATATCAGAGAAATCTGAAGCCACCAAGAGTTGATTATGGTCTGGATAGGTTAATTAATGTCTAAATAATAATTAGATAACATTTAAGGCTTAAAGAAAGACCTGCAATAGGCAGATTTAACTCTTGCATAGTGTATATTTAAAGCGATAATTTCATATTTTTAAGTTATATTTTTAAAATGTATTAAAATAAAGCCTTAAAATAGATGGTATCTATAAACAGTCCTACCTTGTTAAAGAATAATCCTATAATTCACTATTGCCAGTTGAGAAATTGGCAAAAACATCATTTTCAACTTCAAATTCAAACGTTCGAAGATAGCTATTCCATATGGGGGGGGGGGGGGAAATAGAAAAACAAGGGAGGTAATTGTGTTATTATTTCCGGGTTGAATGATTTTAAGTGTGAGAAAGATAACCTATGATTGTATAATAGTGAATTGACAACCTATTGAGCAAAAGACATAGAAATAATTATGTTTTGACCTTCTTAGAAAATATGAAATTCTCGCTTTAAGTAATTGTTTTTCCATATGTATGTATTTTAGTTTATTATCAGAAAATCTCAGATGTAAAAAACACTTTAAAGCTACTGATTGTCATCTGGACAATATCCGATTAATGAAAACGAAACCAAAATAATAACGATAGATAATCGCTAGGATTAGATTCAATGAGATTTTAAAGAGGCTCATCTAAAGATGGCGCTGGTTACGCGGGTCCCATGTCACAAATAGAAATATTATTTTACTTTTATATTTTTGATTTTTTTTAATAAATTTGTAACTGAAGTTATGACTAAAGGTATAGAATCTCATTATTATATACCCGTATATAGACATTGCTTAGTTACCTCTGGTCAGTTATTTACTGGAAAAACTAGACTACTATCTGTTTATTGCAGATTTTAGCTTTGATGTATATCTGGTGATCAAATAATTTTCTATGTTTTTAGATCTGAATGTTGTAGAAATTGAAATCTCTAAATTTATTCAATACAAAATGTTTGTTTATTTTATTTGTTTATTTTAGTTTATTGTTTATGAATTCTAATTGGTGAGAATTAAAACTGATAGTATAATTAGAAATAATTTAAATATAATATATGGTTATTTCTAGTCTAACTCAGTTTGACCATCCCCCTTGGTGAACATGGGCCTAAGGCCTTCCATCTGACATGATTCTCAGTGCAAGATGAACATGTTTCTATGGTTACCGTGGGGAAGATCAAGTTAAAATGAGTCTATATATAATATTTAAGTATATGTATATTATCTTCACGCAAGCTTGGTTATATAACGCATGAGAAAATCCCTTAAATCAAAACAATGGCTTTCTCATCATCTAAATCAGATTTTTTTTTTTTTTTTTTGATATATATACTTTTATAATGCATATTCATGTACTGTTGGTTGATTTCCATACTTTGTTTTGGTCTCGGCATAATTATTATTAGTCGCCCAGACAATCGGCCCTTACTTCGCTATAGGGATTTCTTGACAACTTTTTCCCCGGGGAAATATGTGTATATATACGATTTAATTGTCACAATCCCTATTTTATGTATTTGATAATGAAATTGATTTTATTAATGAATGAAACCGCAAGACACCGAGATTGTGGAGATGAATTCTGGGTGAAGAATAAGTTGTATTTTATTGGTTGATATATTTCGTAATAATTCTTACGTTAAGATGAATATTTTGCGTGTGATTATCTACTATGTAGATGACTTTATATTTTTTATGTTTAAATTGTTCTGTTTTAGTTTAATTACAAGATGTCCATCCATCGTACTAACATTACTTGTAATAAACAAGTGTTAGGATAAGGGTTAGGTATGTCCATCGTACAAACTTTATTTGTATAGAACAAACTCAACAAAGGTTAGGGTAAGGGATAGGTTGATCAAACTACCTGTATTAAAATATATCTTAGCTTTTTATATGGTTGTTTTTTTGATACATCCACATGGTCGTATATGGTCATCACCCCTGTCCGTCACCCTGTGCAATATCAACAATTTTGACGGAAATTTTGACCGGACAGCGGCGCTACAGCCTACTCTTATATTGAATTTGTTCTGCCAAGTGATCTTTCACTGTACATGCCAATGTGTATACAGGACCTTGATTTGTCGTCCCATTCCAACAACTAGACAGCTGTCCTTGTCAGACCCTCCTTCCTACATCACTAACAAGGGAGAGAGAGAGAGAGAAATGGGGTTTAACATCCACTCGACACAAACTAGGTCATTTCGGGACTAACATATGGTTTAATTTTATTTACATAATTCGCTTGCGTGTAGGGGTCTTTAGCAATGGGAGGAAACCGGAGGACCCGGAGAAAACCCAAGAGGTTGGACAGGCGACCCTACTTATTGTCACATACAACCGGGGATTCGAAACCACGCCAGTCGACTCAATGACAGACCTTATGATACAAAGCGCACACGCTAACCATTCAGCCATCCACCCCCCACTGACAAGGGGAAACCACTCCGGAAAATCGCAATGATCTTCCTTGTCCAACCCCGGGATCGAAAGTTGTATATTGTAATCTAATAGAATGGAGTTTATCATACTTAGGTGATTTTGAGACTAACATATGGTAATTATTACAGTTCTAGGAGAATTTTACCTGGATAGCGGCATACCTACCGATTCTTCTTCAATTTTAAACCCTCATGGGATCTTTTACATACAGAAATCAGGGGCGGATCCAGGAATTTTTGCAGGAGGGGGTTTGCCAGGTTCCTGAGAAAATGTATCCCCCCGGCTTGAAATTTGTTGAGAAATACATGGTCTCTATCGTCATTTTGGCGTATATACATACACATTGATCTTTTTAAACAGAGAAATCCAACATCCTGTTTGACGTCAATTTTTGTTATGAATAAATACGATGACATTGTAATTCAATTTTATTGATGCAAAGCATTAATTATGATATCACATATGTCTATATCATTATCTCGCGCTTTGAGTGCCCATCCTGTCGCACCATCTGATGATAAAGGATAAAGCACAATTATGACACTTTTCTCATAAAAAAGGTTGTTATACAAAAAAATTTATGTAGCTGAACAGGGGTGGTGGGGGGGGGGGGGGACCACCCAAACCCCCCCTCTCAATCCGCGCTTGGAAATGAAATGGGGTTGTCCTGTTCTACTATGACTGGGCTATCGAAGAAAGACATATGTCATATTGCGTACTATGAAGAAATTGTGCTTGGACAGTGGCGCTACAACCTACTGTTATATCAAATTCCAACTGTTAAAGATGGGTTCCCAGAAAAGTATTTATCGGGTGGTTATTTCCAATAAAAGTATGGCAATTTTGGTATACATGTATATGGAAAGTAGAGATATCCAATCTTACTAGAAAAATACAGGATTCCCCGAAAAACACTCATGGAGCGTATACAGGACAAAAATGTAAGGGTTCCCCTAATCAACAGCCCGACGATTACGGATTTCTGCATGCGTGATGTCAAAGGTCACACGCGAACCTTGAGCGCTTGATGTACAAGTTGATAAACTTTTTGAAGAGTTAGACGTGATAAAAATGACAGAAAAAGACGCGGGTAGTGGATAATTCGAGAATTTAATTAGGATTCGATATTTGTAATAAATAGTAAGCGATTAAAGACAACATCGTTTTATGTATGCAATGAATTCTCCTCTGACTTCCGAGACGTGACGTAAACATGACCTGGTTTGATTGAATTTTATAGCAGGGCATTCCTTCGCAATTACAATGTTTGAGAAGGATTTGAAGCAAAATTATGACAAATTAATTAGTTTGAATATGTTTTTAGTCCATATATACCATTAAATCACCCAGTTTGTACGCAGGAATGTATCTTTAAGGCTACTTTTAGGTATATAGGCCGTATGTCCTGTACCACTGATGGGAGGGAACCACATCATAAAATGGGGGGTTGGATGGCCGAATGGTTAGCACACGCGCGCTGTATCACGAGGATGGCGTGGTTTCGAATCCCTGGTTGTGAGTGACAAGGACTGGGGTCGCCTGTCCAACCTCGTGGGTTTTCATCGGGTCCTCTGGTTTCCTCCCACTGCTAAAGATCCCTACGCGCAAGCGAATTATTGAAATAAAATTAAACCATATGTTAGTCCAAAAATGACCTAGTCTGGGTCGAGTGGACGTTAAACCCCATTTCTCTCTCTCTCTCTCTCACAACATAAAATCCTGATGAATTTTCTCTGCCAACACAGGGATCGAACAAGGGATCTCAAAATTTAGCGAACCAATGTCTTACTCACTGAGTCACGGTGCCTTCCATGAACATACAATGATTTATAATGTTATGGTTACATGTACAATTCAAAGAGAGAAAAAGAGGGTTTAACATCCACTCAACACAAACTAGGGGTCTGTAGCGGTGGGAAGAAACTCGAGAACCCAGAGAAAACACATGAGGTTGGACAGGCGACCCTACTCCTTGTCACATACAACCGGGTAAACAAAACCACGTCAATTGACTCAATAACAGACCTTATCACACAACATGCACGCCCTAACCATTCTGCCCCCCCTCCCTCTCCCTAAATTTAAAGGGAGACTTTTTCCCTGGCAGCAACATTTTCCCCTCAATCTTCTTGAAATTGTTCGGTTTAAAAAACAAAAAGAGAAACTTATAGTCAGAATTATTCCCTTTAATCTGTAAAGTTGAACCAAACAAATGATCATGACCACCATTACTCACGGTTTCAATATAGTTTCTGTTATTCACAGTTTAATTTAGTTTATATCTGTCAAATCTTGATTAAAACACAGATCTTATTTCGTTTCGTTTTTTATAGTTCAAAATTTCGTTTTACTTGTCTTCACAACACTATATATAGGATCTGGAACAGTTGTTATATAACATGTGTTTTAGTTGATGTGAGGAATTAGCCAATGAAACTGTCTGTTACGGAGAGTTCTTTGTGTGCTCTGCACGGAACTGTGGATAAACCCCTTGAAGCGTCAATGCTGATTTATTAATCAATGTCTGATGTCATAGGGTCAAAAGCTGTTGTATGTCCCCTGATGCGATCTTTCAGTACAACTGGTCAGATTTTCATGTAGTGTAGGCCATCAAAGTATAAAAAACGAAACGAAATATAGATCTGTATTTTAATCTGATAGCTGTCTGTCAGATTCAAACATTTGTAATTCATGTCAAAAATACAATTATATTTAATAACTGTTACTCACAGTTTAATATAGTTTCTGTTTGATTCAAACCAATTCATGTAACATAAAAAATACAATTATATATAACTGTTAACATTGATGAAATAAGAGATTATTTTCTGGAAGTTAGATCTACTAGATCGATTCGAACAACCATCTATAAATAGCCATGTTTTAAATGTAATTGTTCTCTTTAATTTTTGAAAACGAAATGAAATGCAATGGGGTTTAATGTCCTACTATTCTGCTCCAACTGGGCTAATGAAGACGGCCCAGTCTTTTGGCCATTTTCTTCCAAGTGTTAAAATGTACTTGTATCAAAACATAATATAAATGGATTGACTTGATATGACATGCGATGGTTATGAACTAATGAAATGCGAGTTACAAATGTTTGATGAAATGTGAGTTACAAATGTTTGATGAAATGTGAGTTACAAAATTTGATGAAATGTGAGGTACAAATGTTAAATGAAATATGAGTTACAAATGTTTGATGAAATGTGAGTTATGAATGGTAGATGAAATATGAATTATGAATGTCTAATGAAATGTGAGTTACAAATGTTTGATGAAAAGTGCAATATGAATATCTGATGAAAAATGAGTTATGAGATGTGAGTTATGAAGGTCTTATTAAATGAATAGACAAGTTAACAACTGAAAGTAAGTTATCAATGTTTAAGTGTTAATTAAAAGTTGATTTCGTATGTTCGAGTCAACAATGAAAAGTAAAAGTGGGATATGAACATTCAGGGTGTGTTTACTGTGTTAAAACTATATTATGAATGTTTGAGTCGGGTATTATGATTTTAGTGGAATCTGACACTATTAAATTAGTATAAGTTTATACTAGACATGTATTACAAATATCCTAAAAAAACATGAAAAAACACAAATCTGTGCTAGAAATACTGACTGCCACCAGAGGGTTGGTGCCCCGACTAAAGTCTGAATCTGTGACACGTCTTGTTGATGTTGTTATTAATGATGACAGTTTATCATAAGTTATTGAAACGTATCCACTTCTATGCTCAAAACCAATGAGTCACAATAATGTTATTGTAGTTACACTACTGTTACACTGTAACCCAGGTATCTAGCACTAATTTCTTTCACATTCCTTAAATATCAATTCTTTGTTTAAAAATTCATAGAAATCATTTAAAATCACCAAAAATCATCTAATTTGTACTTGTGTCCAGTTTAAAGCTGACTGTTTAATTTTGATAATGAGTGTTTAATTTCCTAACCACTGTTCAAAAATTAATCATTATACATCAATAATCAATTGGGTTGTTTATTTTTAAAAGTGATCGAGAAATTAAACACTTGTAAATTGGACACTCTTTATCCAAACTGAATGGTCAGCTTTAAACTGGACACAAGTACAAGTTAGATGAGTTTTGGTGATTTTAAACGATTTTTATGCATTTTTAAACAGAGATTTGATATTGAATGAATATAAAAGAAATTGGCGTGAAATACACAAGATTAAATAATACTTGGATTACAGTGCCTATGTTTAATTACTCACTGTAATCACCATTTTCGGGGGTGAAAACACAAGTCTACGTTGTCGCTGTAATCACCATGTTCGAGGGTGAAAACACAAGTCTCCGTTGTCTAAAAGAGTCTACAAAGCTCTGACACATTTCTTGCGATATTTTGGGGCAATTTTTACACCTCAGAGATGTCAATGATGCACACGAATTGAAAGCTAGTACGACACTTTTCTCTGATAGCTGACAGCACCCTGATAGTTGTAATTCACTCAGTGAACTTCGTAGAGGACTGGACTCGAGAAAGAGTTTTTCGATGCCATCGTCTGTGAGCCTCATACAGTAACTTAGTCCGAGGGTCTCCAATCTGGGCATGTACTCCACAATGAGCTCTAGCGACTGATCCGTTATCTCACAACCTGATAAATCTAAATTCCGCAGACGTATCAAACGACTAACTTCGTTTAATCCAGGTTTACCATCGACTGGTGGCAAAACCAAATCCCGAAAACAGTTCTCACGTATTCCTACAGCCCATTTTAATAAAAGGGATTTCAAAAACGGGCACGAGGCTGAACACAATCCACAGATAGTTGCCCACGAGCAATAAGTTAGATCTAGGGTCTGAAGTTGCGGTAATCGCGAGACGAGCCACACCAGTTGTTTCTGGGAAATAACGCTTGACACCAACACAAGGTTTGAGGGCTGTCGTTTAACAATACCAATTAGATGAACTTGTTTGAGTCGTTTACGCGAGAGATCGAGTGTCCTCCAGAGCTTCCTATCCAGACACCACCTATTCCATGTCTTACAAATGGCCATACATAAACACAACTCGCTTTCTTCAAGATACGTGAACACTTTCATCCATAGCAATCTGTTTAAACAATGTTTCTTGCCATTCGCGAGTTCAACGTGTGATGGTGGGGGTGGTAGGGGAGCCGGTCGTACCACGTACTTCTCTAAGACGACTTTTAACTCCTTATCTTTATCACCAACAGCAAGGGGGCCTTGAGTGTCACCTTTACGAAGTTTCGGAACTTTAGTTTCTGAAGGTCGATTTGAATCTGTTTTTTGACTGCTGGATTTATTTGACGTTCCGGCCTTACTGAGACTGAAAGTCTCCGTTCCTCTTGGCTTGCCTCCATCTGGTTCCCTGCGTCTGTCGCCGCGACTTTTAGGATTTGGACTATCCGTTTTTGTTCGAGCACGACGCTGACCACGAGTAGTGCTGGGAGAATCTGTTCTCTGACTTTCAGGAGAGATGCTCTGCAAATGGAATAAAAAATCTTTTAGCCTCGAATTTTCCATTTTGTGTTTTCCTCCATGAGCCAGATCTTATTGACGTAAGAAAGGTTCTTGACTTTCCTACGTATCTGATAGTCTCCCTATTCCCTCGATCTTCGGTACCTTTTAAATGGTTAAATATTTTTATCGATCACAAGTGAACGTATCCAAGAAATTTTGAAACCTACTCCATCACTAATGATGATAGTTTAAAAAAGAACAACAGAAAAAACTTTAAAAAATTTTTTATAAATTTATTCCAAAACATAACTAATTTGTTACGTAAATGATAAATTGAACGAACCTTTTCTGACTACGAGAAAAAGAATTAACAATAAAATCTGGCTAATAGGCTATTTTAAATGGCAAACATATGAACAAAAATGATTTGGAAAACTTATAAATGTGAGAAATAAAGTGAAACTATTTTCACCAAATCAAATAATAAATCTCAAGAAAACGAACAAAGTAAAGATTTGTCTGACGGAAGCAAACACTAATCTATTAATCTTGGGTTAAAATCAAAATTAATCTCCAATTCTTCAATATATATATATATAGGCCTACCAACACACTAAAGTGTCAATATTAAAATGTCAATCAAGGAATCCATATTTAATTGTGGATTAATTAAAGTCTCTGACCCTCATTTTGAATCCCTTACAGAAATGAAATGGGGTTTAACATTCTACTGTTCTGTTCCGAACTGGGCTAATGACGGCAGGCATACGCTACACTGACAAGGGGCAACCACGCCGGAAAATCTATATGAACTTTCTCGGCCAATGCAGGGATCGAAGAAAATCCCTTACAAACTACAATACTGTGGAAGATAAATCTCTAATATCACTCCAATAATAATTCCATTAGAGTCAGTATTTACAGAGAGAGAGAGAGAGAGAGGGTTAATGTCCACTCGTCACAAACTAGGTCATTTCGGGACTAACAAATGGTTCAATTTTATTTCAATAATTCGTGTGCGCGTAGGGGTCTTTAGCAGTGGAAGGTAACCTGAGGACCCGGAGAAAACCCACGAGGTTAGACAGGTGACATTACTCCTTGTCACGTACAACCGGGGATTCGAAAGCACACCAGTTGACTCGATGACAGGCCTTATGATACAGCGCTCACATGCTAACCATTCGGCCATCCAACCCCCCAATCTCTACAAGGAGTATCCGTCCAAAAATTATTCCATTTCATTCAGTATTGACAAAGATATATGGAATTGAAAATATGACATCCACCATACAATGCAGTTAATGAGAAGCCAGTGCCACCTATGGTTATTTCTGATGGGTCTCTTTTTAATCCGATTGATATTTTAATTTTATTTATTTAAATTAAATTTTAAATAATCTATTTGAGTACCGGTACATTATGGTGTGAATTAAGTCGAGGGAAATTAGCAGAGGTGGGACCAAGTCATCGCACCTCGTGTCTTAGTCGAGTCCTAAGCTGCTGACTTAAGTACCAAGTCGAGTCCTAAGTCTTTAAAAAGCCTGAGTCCCGTTCAAATCACCAGTTCACCAATGAGTCAGCGATTCATGCCGAATAAGGTAAGTTAGAGTTATGCCCCCACGCTGCGACCCGAGTCCAAATCTCTTTCGAGTCCAAATCTCTTTCAAGTCGCAAGCCTTGAGTCGCAATAAATATTTCAAGTCAAGTCACCCATCGGGTCATTGGTGTGACATAAGTCCGACTTGAGTCCAAGTCGCAGGACTCCAGTTCCCACCTGTGTTAATTAGATATTTTTCCTAATTACAAATTAGAAGCCTAATTACAAATGAAGGTCAGAGACTTTAACAATGTATAAACTTTAAATCGAAGTATATTTAATGGCGGTAAGGAGGTAGTTTAATATTATCAGAATTTCTGACAACAGTTTAAACAAATAATTTAGAAATGATACGAAATGATTTTACAATATACAACCATCTAATATACACACAGTAAAAACTTTTAAACATTTTTCACAATGACTTAACTTATGAAACCCTGATAATATGACCTCAGAAATACAACTGTTATTTGTAAAAATACATCTCTAACATAAAGAGTTTATCAAGTTTTAAGATTTTAATCATAATACCAATTTGATTAAACTTAAAACACAGATCATATTCTGTATCGGTTTTTTAAAATTCAAATATTTATTGTCTTTACTACACTATGAACTGGAAGAGTTGTTATATAACTCGCGTTCTTGATGATGTCAGGGATTAGCCAATATAACGGTCTGTTACAACGAGTTCTTGGCATGTGATGCACGGAACCGTCAACGCTGACTGATTAATCAATGTCTGACATCATAGGGTCAAAGGCCGCTCGTAAGACCCCTGACTTGACCACTACAACCGTTCAGATCTTCATGTAGTGTAGGCCATCGAAAGTATAAAAAACAAAACGAAATATAGATCTGTATTGTAATCAGATTGGCATGAAACTGAAAATAATTCTGAGATGCGGTATTTGAAACAAAAAAGGGAGTGACAATAAGCAAAGAGTTTAGAGTTAAAAACACAATTCAACATTGTGGTTGGTGATGAAGAATGTCATTTCAATACCACATTTAAATTATCAGGGTTTCATTGTGAAAACTACAGGGGGTGTTTAACTTTTTTACTGAGTGTATATATTAAAACAAAATATATATACATGCACAAAAACACACAAACACGATGACCCATCGATTTCTTTAAAGCTAATAATAGTGAGAAATGGGGTTTAACGTCGACTTGACACAAACTAGGTCATTTTGGGACTAACATATGGTTCAATCTTATTTCATTAATTCGCTTGCACATAGGGGTCTTTAGCAGTGGGAGGAAACCACAGAACCCAGAGAAAACCGACGAGGTTGGACAGTAACCTTACTCCTTGTCACATACAAGTGGGGAATCGAAACTATGACACTTGAGTCAATGACAGACATCATGCACACGTTAACCATTCAGCCCCCCCCCCCCCGCCCAGGTCTACATTAGATGTTGTGAGTCAGAGAACTGTATAGCACTGTCAAGGTATAGCACTAAGATAAGACATTATAGCTATATTGTTACCTAATGACAGTTGACCCAACTCTCTATATAAATATATACATGGTTCTACTACAAACTGTACAATGATGTGAATATTATATACAATGATGATACACAAAATATAAATACATAAAACAACACAACCTTGAACACATCAATATATACTAAATTAATCCTGCCAGGTATTAACGATAATTGAGATTAGTGAAATGAGGTCTAACGTCCTACTATTCTGGACCAACTAAGGCTAATGAAGACGAATCAAGATTAGTAATAGTTATACTCTCAGTATGGTCAATATTTCGGGGAATTTTAAATATGATTTAACCATATCTTCATGTCCGATTGAACATATTCTTAATTGGACATTTGTCAATCCATGTAGGACATGTCTGGTATATATGGCCAAAACAGCTGCCCTGGATTAAACAGTTTTCACCTGCATAACGTTAAAATGTATTAAGGATCTTTAAATTTCAAATTTGTCTAGATTCATCAAATGATAATTATGTACTATAAAAGTTTTTAATAGAAAATATAGCTAATTATTTTATTAACAGGCATTTCACTGATTTCTTAGCTGTAAGTAGAATAAGAAAAAGATATGAATTAATACCAACTGGTTATAGAAATTACTGGGAACTTTTTATATACAACACAACTTTTCTTGTCTTTAATTATTTATAAATAAATAAAATTTGATGAATGAATGAGATATGGTTATAGATATTACTGGAAACGTTTTATTTACACAACTATTTTTATTATTTTTTCACTCTGATTAAAACACAGATCCTATTTCGTTTCGTTTTTTTATAGTTCAAAATTCAAAATTTTTATTTTGGGATATGGAAGAGTTGTTATATAACCTGCATTCTAGTTGATGTTATGGCGAGTTCTTGGCGTGCTCTGCACAGAACTGCGAGTAAACCACTAGAAACGGCAATGCCGATTGATTAATCAATGTCTGACATCATAGGGTCAAAAGCCGCTCATATGACACCTGACGCGAACTCCCACTACAACTGGTCAGATCTTCATGTAGTAGAGGCCACCGGAAGTATAAAAAAAACGAAATATAGATCTGTATTTTAAACAGATTGTCACTTTTTAAAATTATTTATAAGAAAAGGAAATTTGCTGCCCTACATATGATAATATCATGCTTATTATTACAAAATCTAAAAAAATAACTTTTATTTTATATTTACAAATATTTATCTGGGAATACTGGTGTACGATTATATATTAGCTGGTTTGGTTAATATGTGTGAAACATCAATGTTTTTCATGCATAGAAAGTTACAGATGTGATTTAACAAACTTGTGCCATTTCCTAGATAACTATGTTTCTTTCATCTATTCTTTATTTCCTGCTATGTTTGTTTTTTAAAGATAGGTTGCCCGGCAACGAAACATACGCCCACAGCAGCTAAGTCGCCCGTATTGTCAGTAATGAAACATTTATAATACATTAAAATCTGATTAAGAGTAACAACTCATTAAGTAATTATCAGAGAATCATTAGAATTTGTTTGGTTTTTAGTTCTGTCCCATGCTAATGTTTAGTATGCGAAACATTTAATATCATGGATTTAGCAAACTTCATTGAAAATCAATGTGCTTGTTCATCTCAAGACCTTAAATTCTGTTTATCAATCTGAAGTCAAATAGACTTCGTGGTCTCATAACCTTAAACACTTAGTATAAATTTAAAGTCAATTGGATATTAACTTTAGCCTCTAGAGCATCCACAATTGCTGGTGGACGCCTGACGGACGGATGGACGGACGAACAGACAGGGGTGACGACAATATATGACCACATTTCAATGTGGGCGTATAAAAAGTAAATCTCTAATGGTGTTAAAAACACTGAATACCGTTACAACAATCAAATGAGATGCTAATGAATTTTAATGCCCTACTTTTCTGCAAATATCGGCGGACAAATGAAAACAGGCATACACCCTTCGTATGTAATATAAACATTCTCAAAGATAGGTTGCCAGGCAACATATCATGCCTGTATAACAAACATTCTGACAGTTGGGTTGCCAGGCAACTAATCATACGAGTCGATGAACAATGGTGAAAACAACAAACTACGACAATAAACAAATTCTTCATAACTCTGGATGTTTCTGATTTTCAAATTAAATGAAATACCTGAGTGATATAGAAGTTAGACCTTTAGAATCCACTACACTCCTTCTACTGTTTGTTTGTTTGCCTTATTATTATATTGATTGACATTAATCATTTAGCACTCGGACCGTCAGAAAATACTTCTCCCTCTACTCAACCCGAGTTACATCGATAGTTGACATCAATCATTTAGCACTCGGACCGTCAGAAAATACTTCTCCCTCTACTCAACCCGAGTTACATCAATAGCTGACATTAATCATTTATCACCCAGACCGTCAGAAAATACTTCTCCCTCTACTCAACCCGAGTTACATCAATAGCTGACATTAATCATTTATCACCCAAACCGTCAGAAAATACTTCTCCCTCTACTCAACCCGAGTTACATCGATAGTTGACATCAATCATTTAGCACTCGGACCGTCAGAAAATACTTCTCCCTCTACTCAACCCGAGTTACATCGATAGTTGACATCAATCATTTAGCACTCGGACTGTCAGAAAATACTTCTCCCTCTACTCAACCCGAGTTACATCAATAGCTGACATCAATCATTTAGCACTCGGACTGTCAGAAAATACTTCTCCCTCTACTCAACCCGAGTTACATCGATAGTTGACATCAATCATTTAGCACTCGGACCGTCAGAAAATACTTCTCCCTCTACTCAACCCGAGTTACATCAATAGCTGACATCAATCATTTAGCACTCGGACTGTCAGAAAATACTTCTCCCTCTACTCAACCCGAGTTACATCAATAGCTGACATTAATCATTTATCACCCAGACCGTCAGAAAATACTTCTCCCTCTACTCAACCCGAGTTACATCGATAGCTGACATTAATCATTTATCACCCAAACCGTCAGAAAATACTTCTCCCTCTACTCAACCCGAGTTACATCAATAGCTGACATTAATCATTTATCACCCAGACCGATAGAAAATACTTCTCACCTAGCATAAACTAATTCTGTAACTCAAACAGTCTATGGTGGAGTAGTTTCAATGTATATATGATACAATATCTGTCTCAAGTTTTGTTTTAGATACAGTAGTTTCAATGTATACAATATCTGTAACTCAGGCAGTTTCAGGCCATTTAAAAAGTGATGAACAAAACTCAAATGTAAATAAAATAATTTCTTCAGGAAACTGAGGCAGTCATTTACAGGTACCAAATTCTAAACGGGCAAATGATTTAAACTCCCGCTCTTGAAACGGGACAATAATCGAATCACTCTTATTAATATTGATGAAAAGTAAGAAGAATTGATATGAAACACCTAGAGTTATGAAGCCAGTGATGAGATGATTTAAGATGGTGTTTATCAACATAAACTATGAAATATAACAAGTGATAATTAACACTTTTAATTGATGAATAATCAACCAATAGAAATTGCTGAAAACAAATTGTCAAAAACCAAGACAAACAATTTGATTGGATGTTAAATGTGATACAGCAGTCGTAGCAGGATAAAAGAGAAAACTAGGCCCATCTTTAAAAAAAAAAACATGTTCGTGATATCAGCTAAGGTGGAAGCAGACGTCAATCCTAAAAACATATTCTAAAAGTGCTGATTGTCATTTGAGGGAGTTTGTTCAATTTTGTTTGGTATTTACAAAGATATGATCAATTGAAAATGTATCAACATTGGGCATCTTCTGCAGATCATATAAAAATGAAATGAAATGGGGTTTATGGTCTAACTTCTCTGTACTGACTGGGCTAATGAAGACGGGCAGACCATATGAACGGGCTATGGTCAAACCAAGCAAGCTAGAATCTTTGGATGGTAAATTTCAACGTTAGCCATTTCCGTGAGTAGTTGTAAAATTACGTGACAGCTTGTTTATACCTGTAGCATGTTACATTGTAACTTTCCGACAATAAACAATTGACTAAAAATACGTCACAGCTTGTTTTTTGTTGCAGGTAACATTGACATTCTGTTTCATACTACACTTGGAAAGGATTTGTTGACATAATTACTTGCTTTATCTAAAAATATTATGAAGCTTTTTGGGTGACCTTTAATTAAATAATCAATTTAAGCGTGGATTAAGCCAATCAAATTTCGATATTGTGTGATAAAAGGTGAAATGAAATGAAATGAAATGAAATGAAATGGGGTTTAACGTCTTACTGTTTTGCTCCTAAACTGGGCTAATGAAGACGGGCATACACCATACAGTGTGCTATGAGGGAAATTTTGCCCGGGCAGGGTGCGCTACGGCCTACTCTTATATCAAATTCCAACTGCCAAGGGATCCTTTATGTGCATGCCAATTTGTACACGGGACATAATAAAAGGTGACAGCGATCAGCAGCTTTTAAGACTTGAGAGATCTGTTTCTCCTGATAAAATTCTAATTTATAATCCTGACTTAAAACTGATCTAACTTAAAGATGGGCCATTTGGTTTCTCTCTAATCTAAATATCGTCGAGGCAGCACTACCTCTCGTTTAGGTCTCTTGATATTAAGGTCAAGGTCATCTCCAGGTAACTGTTTCTGCAATCTACCAGATCTTTTGGTCGCTGACGGAGATTCAAGTTTAATGGATTTGACGGGTGATAACTTTATCTGAAACAATAATACGACATATTAATGTAATTTGAAATTGCAGCTTCCAAACTAAGGAATAGACTTTCGTATCATGACGTTTCGATATGTATCATCTTCTTGAACGATAAGACAAAAATCAATCTAATTAAAACACAGATTCTATTTCGTTTCGTTTTTTATAGTTCAAA